AAAGATCATAACTTTTTATCACTGATTTAAAGCTTCCTATCCCTATTATACCTTATAAAATGATTCAAGAATTCTTAATCTATTGACATTTGCACGAGGCTGCTGTTTCTTAAGTAATTATATATTAAAACTCTGTTATGCAAGAATAATTATCTTTAATAATTACTTTTCTAATACATATATTTTTTATATAAACTGGAAGAAATATTATATTATTATATATATAATTTTATAAATAATTTTTTTTAATTACATCTGAAAATTCTTAAACATCGTATTTTTAATATTTCTATTTAATATCAAACAAAGATTTTAAGTATTAATATTATCACATTTTTATTACATTTTTTTACAGTAAAAGGAGACTCAGTTCTCGGAAATTTCTTTTAACTGTAACTGTTTATGGAAGATAAAAACGTCGTCGATCATCATCGGGATAAAGAAATAAGAAAAAAAATAGTACAACCGTAATTACCCGAAAATATTCATAAGATCGTTAATGTTAGCAAGAAGCCGTAAAGAAGCCGTAAAATACTGCGAAGGAAACAGGCCAAATGCATACATGCGTAAATCCTATTCTGGATTGTAACTATTCGTGTTCTATAATATCTTTCTTGGGCGTCGACAATTTCACGTAGCGTAACTAAATTAAACGTAAAAACATAATTTTCTGTGTTAGTGATCCAACGGAACGAATAAAATTGAAAATAAATGATTATGGTCATAAACCGGTTTGAGATCTCCTTCAGGGTCTACAAAGCGTATCATAAATTCACATTTTTATGAAATTCTCTTATTAAAAATACAATGTATTGAATAATACTTTCTCACTCGCGACTGCAAGAATCAGCCCACTTCATCTAATTGTATCAGTCGCGCTAATTAAAACATGTGTGATTTTTCACGCTCGTCGAGATGAAAACAAATGCTAGATATATAGTAAAAAGTCAGTATATAACACAATTATGTTCGCAAATCGCGCAACATGTTTCGTAATGATGAGTCTGTTCAACATTTTATACATGATCTATTCTCCAATTTACTCTCTCTCTCTCTCTCTCTCTCTCTCTCTCTCTCTCTCTCTCTCTCTCTCTCTCTCT